GGGTGCAGCTCATCGACATACTGTTCTTGATGGACGAGCGAGACAGAGTGATCCTCCACCACTTGGTGATAGAAAGAGTTAATATTTCCCATTGTGTGCACCCTCCCGCCATTGTCCCATAGGGTCCATGAATTATCCGCAAAGGTAAGAGGACTGAAATGACCTGGACGATGCAAGATATATGCCCGAATATTCGGATTCATGCCTGGCATGTGGTTTGTGGAGCAGGCTGGAATTGTAGTCGCCTACCCATAAATGCTATACACAGGACTTCTATGTTCACACTAGGTGCAGTATTGTCGTCCTCTGGGCAGGCAGCACAGTGCTCTTCTTCTATCCAGCGGACAACGTCTGCGAAATCAGAAACAGTGTAAGGATCTTCAGTCGGGGGCTCCATCAGGTAATCAGGAGATGTGTAACTGTCATTTGGGGCAGCGGGGCAGCAGGGCTAGGTGGATGAGAGAGGGGCGGGTCAGGGGGGTGAGAAATGGGTGGACCAGATGCAGGAAGTTGACGCTGATCAGCCGCACTTGTGCTTAGAGTGGCTGCTAGTCGGGCAAACACTGCACAAGTAGCTGCACCCCATGTCTGGTGCACACGCAGGCCTGCAGCACTGAAGAAATCATGGCCACATTGCAGGCATAGGACTCGGCATGTACTATTCCTGGCTAGCGTGTATTGAAGGCGGCAATGTCGTTCCAAACGGTTGTGAGCATGCCGGTGGAGCAGATCTCTAATCTCTGCAGGAGGTGCGGTGATCATGCTGTCCAAGGATTAACGAGGCTGCTGTCTTGGAGGCGACGGTGGAGACGGAGAACGTCCCCTCCAAAGAGGCATCTGCAATGGTCGATCTAACGACGTACGTGTGCGCTGACAGGGCCTTTGTCACGGCTGATCCGACCATGAACGTGATGATGGTGATGATGATGCTGAGGTCGATGACGAAGAGGAGGCCTGCGAGGTGGCGGAGGGGGAAGAAGGAGACGAGAAAGAGGAAACAGTAGAGGAGGCAGAGTGTGTGTAAGATGTGTGCAAAAGCACAGCGAATGACGCTCCAATACACGTGACATGTACTCCGTGACACTGACTCATCAGGGACGCAGTCCAAGGACCCAACAAAATTACACAATTCTCTCTTATCGGTTCCCTTGTAAATGTTTTCTATAAGCCATAGACTCAATGGAAAGACAAACAGCACGCAGCAAGGCAAACACCACGAGGCAGCAAGGCACTAAGGCTGGAGGGCACGGGGGAGGAGGGTGGGCAGGCAAACAGCCCAAGGCAACAAAGTGCACCGCGTGAAAGGCATGTGCAATCAGACTCGCTTTCATTCACACTTCATATGCATGCGAACAGGTTGCGCAGCAAACTGGCGACAAGCGCCCACTCAAACTCAGAGATATAGTAACCAAGAACGCAGCTCAGATACAAGTTCACTTCAAATGGCTATGGCGGCAGATCGCCTGTACAACTCTCTGCTCGTCACTCACTCAACACTGCTGTTCGCACACAGAATCACCCTGGATATCCCACACGCAACACTCTGTACACTCGCACACTCACACACGCTACTCTCTCTCCTATCAGCTATGGCAGCTATGGCCGCTGCTGCCCTATCACTATGGCTAAGCTTCCTTCTCGCCCACTTCGTCTTCGGGCTCACTGCAGCCACCTCGCACAAGTCGCTGTGGCAGCGCTTCCACATGGCTTACGCAGGAATCCCCCCATGGCTGGACGCTGCCTCTTGATTTATACTTCTGTAACTCGCTGGTGTGCCCTTTCCCATCGGCCCATGGTGCACACAGTCCCTCATGGTACTTGCTGGACTGGACTGGGACTGACTGGACCGGTACCGCTGACTGCATGGGTTTGCACCGCAGACTCACTGCAGTCGCACTGCCAACGTACTGAGGCTGGCTCCACCACTTGCCCACTTGCCTCTGCCTAAACGTGAGCCCACTCCGAAAGGCCACTTCCGGGACCTTYCGGAAGTCTGTGGACTTGGCCTTTCGGGTACTGTAGCAGCTACGACCTTGACCTTTCAGGGCTGTAGCAGCTACGACCTTGACCTTTCAGTAGATCAGTAGACCTATAGCTACGACCTCTACAGAGCTGTGACCCCTACTCAACAGACCTACAGATCGAATCCCTACATCTGCACAGTCCTACGACAGACGAACAACAACTAACAAAACACAGGTCACGGGTTCAAACACTCAGGGGTCAACTCGATACTGTACACCTGTAAGGTCAGAACTAGGGATCGAGCCCTGGGATCTGCATTTGCTACTGCTAGCAGGTGAAAACCATTTCACTCCCACCGGCCTAAATTCGAGGTCCTCCGAGAATAACTCAGTCCAAGGCAGGACCTTTTGCCTTTCTTATCTCTCTCGTAGGCTCTCCTCCGAGAATAACTCAGTCCAAGGCAGGACCTTTTGCCTTTCTTATCTCTCTCGTAGGCTCTAACTACGTCGGGAGAGGTTTCTAGAAGTTTGGTTATAGTAAACCAGCGGTCGTCTTCTGGCTTCTGATAAGCAAATTGAACCTTGTACTGCTTCTGCGGACGACCTCTACCTCCTGTTCTGAACACGTCTTCACCTACAATGCCGTCAATGTCGAATCTTTCGTCCATGTCAGGAGGAATCATGGATCTCCTAGATGGAAACTGTTGACTTGTGACACACGGCAACAACTTTGAGGCATGAAACACAGGGTAGGTGTGGAGGTGTGCTGGGATCTCTACTAAGTAGGACGGCCCATCCTCTCCGCCCTTAACTTCTAGAACGGCCACGGTCCTCTATATGCGTGCAGTAACTTCTGCGAGATGTTTTCCTCAAGAGCAAACTCTTTTGACTTGACCCAGACCAGGTCGCCTACTTGAAATTGTGACGGGCGACGGTGCTTATTAGCTTGTTCTATCATTCAGTGTTGGGCCTTCCTGAGGTTCTCTACCACGGTAGTTAACTCTTTCTCGTGTTGTAACACAAACTCTCTAGTACCGGGCGGTACCCTGTGAATCTGATCCCGGTTAAGTCCCTCAAACGGTCTGCGTGGTCTAAAGGACTTGTGCAACTCGTTGGGAGTGCGACAGGTAGACAAGAGCACGCTGTTATTGTACGCACTGGCTACTTTGGGCAACATCTCATCCCAATTGATCTGATCCGGTCTAATGTACATACACAGGACTTGTTGCAGGATCTTGTTCATTTGTTCCGTCTGACCGTTAGTCTCTGGATGACGGCCAGATGACATCAACAACTTGGAGCCATCGACTCTCATCAACTCTTGTCAGTTCTGACTAGTGAACCGGGTGTCTCTATCACTAACTATAGACAGTGGAATCCCGTGTTCACTGACCCAATGATCAAAGAACTTTTGGATAACTAACTCTGTACGCGCCTCGGAGGGCAAAGGAACAAAAACAACATACTTACTGAATCTGTCCACTATTATCATGACTTGGCTTTTGCTGTGCCTACTCTTGATATGGGTGTCCATAAAGTCAATGGACAATGAATCTCCTGGCTGATGAGGAATAGGCAAGGGTCTGAGAAGACCTAGAGGGGCACGCGTAGAGGTCTTATTTCTCTGGCAGACCTTACAACTGCTATGCAGTCGGCATTCATCCCAGGCCATATGTACATGAGGTTAGCTAGGGTCAACCAAAATGTCCCTCAGTATCGTGGCATTCCCCTAGGATCAAACTACGGATCTCCTCACTGTTAGGAACATACAATCGGTCAATTATGTTCGTCTTCTCGAATAGCAACCCATCAGTAGTGTCTCCTTTACTCTCTTGAGGAGGTCACTATAGATAGGATCTTGCGCATATGCCTCTCTAACTTTCTGTTGCGGGTCTCTCCCTATATCCAGATAATGGACTATCGCTCCAAAGTAGTCAACCCTCCTACTCAGAACATCCGCAACTACATTATACTTCCCTTTTACTGGCTTGAGCTCAAAATCATATTGGTCTAGCTTTGCGGCCCACCTAGTCAGCTTCGGTGAATCTTCAACCACCTTAATGTTTCGTGGTCTGAATAGACTTTGAAGTGTCTCCCAAGCAAGAAAACTTGCCTGAGAGCGTAAAGTTCCCTCTCATAGGTGGATGTTGTGACCTTCTCTGAAGGCATCCTAGCAGACATGAACTCTACGAGTCTATATCCGTTGTCGTCCTCTTGTTGTAACACAACGCCTATTCCATACTGGCTCGCATCCGTAGTGACGACGAAAGGTAAGGACGGATCGGCTACCTTAAGGATTGGGTACTCTATCAATGCCTGCTTCAATTTCTTCATGGCAGACGTGCAGTCCTCGTCCCACTTCCAGATCGCTTCTTTCTTTAGCAACCTGCGAAGGGGTGCAGCGATGGTGGAGAAGTTGCGCACAAACTTCCTATAGTAATTCGCTAGGCCTAAGAATGACCGCTGTCGTGTTCAGTTTTTTCGGATGACAAGCTACTTTGCGATTGATTCTTGATCAAGGGCATTGCTTGACGTGTTGCATGCCTCTTCCTCTAGGAAGTGGTCTGGGGTACTCCTCCTCCTCGTCCGAGCACAAGACTCGGATCTCAGAAGTCGGGCCGTCTCCACTGAATCGGCAAGTACCCCCCCCGTAGAACGGTCCACTCTGGGTCGATAACAGGGTCGGCTCCTGAAGCAACGAACCCCCGCCTCAGATGCTTCCTAGAGATAGTGGATGCGTCCACCGCAAGTAGCTTTCATATATTTTTTATTTCTCCTAAGTTCCGGGGTAACTTAGACGAAAAGAAATCAGAAGAGATAAAGAAAATGAGAATCATTTAGACAGGTACAGGTAGATAAGGTCGTTCGGGATAGAATGGGTCAATCCTTGGGAAAAAGCTAAATCCGTTTGACCTTATCTGCTTTATTTCAATAGAATCCATTCTACGACACACATTGAATAACATTTTTCCAAAACAATGTTCTTTTTGACAAGCCGGGAGGTGAAAGGTAGAAAGAAGATAATTCATTCCTTCATCTCAAATAGGCATAATCAATCTCCTTTGTAAGCATCGCTCTACCTACCTGCACAAACCGCAAAGGAAACACGTTCAAAGGAAAACAATACAATCTCATACTCGAGTCAGACTTTTCCATTCACATGCATGACTTGCACAACTTTCCTCTACCTTTTCTTTTGAATATTCAAAACGAACAGGGTCAAGCAAAATGCGGGTCCACACAGGCGTGAAAGGAAGTCTGAGTCATTCAACTGACCTCGAGTGAAGTTGAACGGCACACTCAAGAAAACCGTATAGAATTACGCCCTTTTGACGAGAAGGTCGTCGCACCCAGTCGTCAGCAAAGTGATCGACACCATTCCCTTGTGACGACCGCTTGCCAGAGTACCCTCTCAACACCAATCACTTTCCACTGATTTGGCGGCGTTTTCTCATTACCACCACTTGGCTCCAAAGCACGGCGTCACGCTCACGCCACTTCAAAATGAAACACCGCTTTGACGCACCTCCTCTGTGTCAACGTCCCACCTCCACTCAGTGCAAAAATAATGTCGTTATCGTCGTGAAAATAGTGTCGTTGGTGCAAAAATCCGGTACTGCCGCCGGAAAATCCGGCGGCGCTTCCGCACCACCGTAAAAAAAAACAGAACCGCCGCCGCAAAAATCCGGCAGCGCTTCCGCACTACCGCCATTAAAACCGGAGTTGCCGCCGCAAAAATCCGGCAGCGCTTCCGCACCACCGCTGTAAAACCAGAGTCGCCGCCACAAAAAATCTGATAGCGCTTCCGCACTACCGCCGTTAAAAACCGTGTTGCCGCCGCAGAATTTCGGCAGCACTTCTGTACCACCGCTGTAAAAACCCGCGTCGCCGCCGTAGAATTTCGGCAGCACTTCCGTACCACCGTCGTAAAAATCTGCGTCACCGCCGTAAAGGTTCGGCAGCACCTCCGTACCACCGCCGTAAAAACCTGCGTCGCTTCCGCAAAAGTTCGGTAGCACTTCCGTACCACTGCCGTAAAAAGCCGCGTTGCCGCTGCAGAATTTCGGCAGCACTTCCGTACCGCTGCCGTAAAAAGCCGCGTTGCCGCCGCCGAATTTCGGCAGCACTTCCGTACCGCTGCCGTAAAAAGCCGCGTTGCCGCCGCAGAATTTCGGCAGCACTTCCGTACCGCTGCCGTAAAAGTCGCGTTGCCGCCGCAAAATTTCGGCAGCACTTCCGTACCGCTGCCGTAAAAGCCGCGTTGCCGCCGCAGAATTTCGGCAGCACTCTCGTACTACCGCAGTGAAAAACAGCAGGCCAAAATTAGTAAAATTTGGGCCCCAGGCCCAAATTTCACTGTGCCGCACTGCCGTAGTCCCGCAACATCACTGGGTCTGTCCCGCGGGACCAGCACCAGCCAGAGGGGAGGGGAGCAGAGTGCTCCCTGCCTTGGCTATGGCTGCCCAGTTCTTCTCCTTGCGCTCCTCTACAGACCTCCAGCCTCTCCTCACGTTGCCTCAGGCAGCAGCTCCAGCAGCCAGCAACACTCAAGTGTGCTCGTCACACACTGGCATCACGAGTGCATTGTGCGGCAGCTGGGGGGCAGCTGCCTGTTTTATATTGGCCGAGGAGGGCTGGTCGTCACTCCAGCCCCCAGGCAAAATCGCGGGCTCACTGTGAGCCCTTGATCTACCAGGATCCAGGGTTGACTGTGGCCGCACCACAGCCACAGCCTTAGGCTTGGATCCCACTGGCCGCCGGCGTGGAAAAACTTTGGCGAGGAAGCCTATTTCAGACCCCACAGGTGTTGGAAACCGTCGTGGAAAGTTGTCCAGGAAAGGAAAATCAGACCCCATTGCGGTTGGAAAGAGGTCGTGGAAATGCTAATGGGGCGTTTCTACTCGGCTCGCAGTCTGGAAATTTTTGGCGACGAGTTTCCAAACAGTTTCCAAGGACGGCTCCAGACGAGTAGGGGGGGGGGCATGGAAAAGAGTTTCCAGAAAACGACTGGACGGCGCGAACCACGGACCGTAGTCGTGGACCGTTTTTTGGATCAGTGCTTCCTCGCGGACACGATCTTCATTTTCTTGCGTCGCACGGTTCCCACCGGGGGCCGGGGGGGTCTGGGCCCTCCATGCTACCCTCGGACTGCGAACGGCAAGACGCATTATTTCAAATTTGAATTTTTTGGCGGGCTCGGGACGTAGGCCAGCCATGCAGTCGCTTCATGCCCACCGACTTCAGTGGCAGAAGCATCGGCAGTGACACCCTCACGTCGTCGTCGTCGACACGTCCATTAAACCCTCCATCGTTTCTCACGGGCGTTATGCCATCGCTCATCTCCTTCGCGCGTGCAGGTTCCCTGGCCTGCCAACAGGGAAGCCATCTCTGGTGGCGTCGGTAGGCGTTCTCCGGCCGGGGCTTCCATTTCGAAGCCGTAGGCGTTGTGCCGAGCAATGTCTGCAAAACGCACAGCCCGCCCACGGCGCTCTCGCTATCTGCCCGCGCGCACACGTGTCGTCCAATGCTGACCTCCCGTGTCGTCGCCATTGCACATGCCTTGCTCCGTCGTGTGCCTCCCTTGCCATCCTCCCTTCTTCGTCTGCCTCGGCAGGGCGGTCGTTTGTCCTCGCCGGAGAGCAACACCAGCTCATGTGGCCACGGGTGGGCTGCACGGGATGATGTCGTCATAAGTCCTTATCCAAACACTCGCCACGTGTCGGTTGTCGAACGCTGTGGTCGGCCGTGTGGATGTGGCAGCTGCCATCGTCACTGTTCAGTGGATGTTGTCATAAACAACCACTGCGGYGGCTGCGGTCGACGAAAACAACCATCTTTGGCTGTTATCGCTGTCCTGCTTGCCGTTGCTATCCTCCTTTCCGCAGCGTTTGTGTTGTCCGTTATTTTCTGGTGCGCAATCGTGTACTTGTGCTGTCGTCGGTGGAGGTAAGCAGCGCAGCGTTGTTGTTCGAGGGCGCATTGCATGTTTGCAGGTTCCCTGGCCTCCGTGTGTAAAGCTTCCGCAGCCAGATGGAGTCGTACCGGTCGACGACAGATCCCTGTGCGGGCAATGGCGGGGGTTTCCAAACCCAGGACATGCGACAGCAAGGATCTGTCCACTACTCCACGCCTTCGCCGTCGAGTGTGCAATCCTTCAGCGGGCAGATGCAGGAGGTTGTGCGTGCGGGGCCGATTCAAGTGCCTCCTGCTCGTGCGGGCTCACCATCTGTCCATCACGTGGATGCTGCACGTCGGCGGTTCGTTGTTCGACCCACTGCAGAAAGTCTGCACGCGGGCGCCGTGCAGACGGGCCAGACGTCGTTTTGCACACAGGTTGGAGGCGGGTATGGCATGCCTTCTCTGCACACTCGGTCTACCAAAAGATCCTTCAATGAATTGTTCGGTGAGCCGTAAAAGGATAAAACAATCAATGCATCAACCAAACAATCAATCAATCAACCAATCAATCAATCAATCAATCAGTAAGACGGTGACACCCTCACGAAGCAATCATTCAATCAATCAGTCAATTGATCAATCAATCAAACAATCAAACAATCAGTGTGACAATGTGACGAAGTGACGATTTACCAAACAATGATATTGTCTATCGAACGATAAAACAATTGACGTTCACGATGAACGCAGATATTGCGGAGTCGTTAAAAAAAAAAAAAAAAACCCTGCTATGACATGTGAAGTGACGGCGTTCACAGACGGGAAAGCGAGCAACCGACCAATCTGGATAGAGAGAGAGAGATGGATAATAGTCCTGGAATGCTATAAATGGTAGAGATAGAGAGAGAGAGAGAGAGAGAGAGAGAGAGAGAGAGAGAGAGAGAGAGAGAGAGACGAGCGATACAAGTCCTTCCGAAAGAAAAAAAAAAACAGCACTCG